ACACTATATCCACCCCCCCCCCCCCCCCCTCCCCCTTCTTGCTTGTTTTGGATCATACAATTTTTTTTTATCATTCAACTTTTAGACGTTAATTACATGTGTTTTTTTATGATTCATCAATTCTTCTTAATCTGAGCGAAAAACTTCTTACTTCGTAGCGCTCATGCATAATCAGTTTTTGTTTGTTTTTTTTTGTGGTAGTATTTTCAATTGAATTGAAACATAGGTTTTTAATCAAACTGAGGTTTTTCAAATTAAAAACATTGAAAATGTGATAAAATATTGTGTAGTTAGAAAATTCATAAAGTTCATTAAAAAAATAAATTTTTTTTCAAAAATAATCCCATAGGAAATTTTATTTCATAAGAAAAGATAACTTTAATTCATGAAAGATATATTATAAAAAAACATACTGACTTCAACAGATCAAATAAAAGTTTTGAGTTCTAAAAATATAAAAAATCACTAATATATGATAGAAATAGATTTTAAGTATCATTATTATCATCCTTACCCATTAACGAATCATCATGATATCTAACAACCTCATTGTTCTCCCCATCACTTTTATGTGAGTGATTCCATTCATCTTCTTCCTTAACCAAACCCATCACTTTCATCCTTTTTGCATCATGATTATTTTGATATATACACTTGAAATAAAGAAATATTGAACAATATTTTATTACAAATTTCATAATGAATATACTTTGCTAACTTTTTGTAGTATTTGATGTTTGACCTATCTTGCATTTGGTGGATCTTTGCTAGCTTCTGCTTACTTTTTTTTTAAAAAAAAGCCCAAGAGCTAATATATTAAAGATAAAGATACAAATATGTTTGTATGGGTGGGCCTAAACTCCTAACCCACATGGTACAACACACATTAAAAAAAGTAAAAGATGGGTACATATAGAAATAAAAGAAAAAACTCAAAAAACCACCCAGGCGCTGGCGCTGAAAAAGTGTGGGTCATTCTAGTCTTGCCTCTGGCTCTAGTTCTCGGTAGGGATCCAACTAGCAGATTGGTAAGGTGCTGACCATTACCCGTAGTAACTAAAGTATCATCCATAAGACTTCTGAGCTCTAGTAGATCTCCATTCTTTTTCTTCCTCCTGGAAGTGTAAACCTGTCATTCCTCCTCCGAAGAATCAACCTGATGGGGTCGAGCTGAAGAAGAAGGATTACCAACAGTAATACCCACTATAGGTTTTGGAATATGTGAAATATGAGTTACCGCTACACCAGATACTTCTTGAAGAAGTGGAGCTGCGAGACTCTCTTGATTATCAGTCTGAACACCATCATTTATAGGTAAGAGTTCATTAGTATTGTTTTGTATGGATTTTGTAGGTGTCGACATCTCATCACTGGCAGTAGTAGTAACAATAGTTTCATGGGGGATCCTCAGGAGCAACAGACACCTCATGTCTGGTAGTATCCTCTTCAGGTGAAACTAAAATTTCCACAGCAGTGGTGTTAGACCCATCCTTATTTACTTGAACCTTAGATTTCAAATTAGGATGACGTTTGTGGCATTTAGCAAGGATATGACCAAACATCTTACAGTGGATACAATATGGGGGTTTGTGTTCCATGGCGATTTGTTGCCAATAACCATTATGGGTTGTGCTCAACCAAACTTCAATAATATCAGGTAAAGTAATATCCCTTTCCACAAGTATTCTGGCCATCGAGGGTCTGGTTAGGTTGAAAGTAGGCAGATCTAGTTTCATAGGATCCCCAAGAATGACTCCAATAGAGTAGAGAACCTGATGGTGAAAAAAATGCAGCTTGAGATCATATAAACTAGACCATATCGGTACAGTGGGAGTCTCATGATTTGGGTCAAAATTAGGAGACCACTTGAGTAACTTCATTGATTTGTCTTCGATATTAAGATATTTCTTGGAGAAAATTCTGGTGTAGTTTTCAGCCACTGTTAGTTGGATTAACACATGTCTCCTATTCATGAGTCCCACTTTCCACTTGCCTATTAGCTTAAGATCATCAACGCTTTTTTCTGATAACATCCATGGGAGGGTGTCCCCACTAAAATTTTCCAATAATAGCAAACTTGACAGAGTAGAAATTTTTTCCTGCTCCCCTTCTTAATAAAAGGACAATCATCAGTGCCCTCACGAGATTCCTTATAACTTGAGGGGAATTTCACTGCGGACTCCACTTGAGGGTTACCCACTACATGGGCAAATGAGACTTTGTCCGGCTAGCTTCTGCTTACTTTTATTACATTAGTAACATAAATATCAATATTAAACTCTTTCTTCATTTCTTTTTCTGACTTAGGTTAACCAGGTATTTATGATATATTTATGAGTCTTAAAAAATTAATTGATTTTTATTTTCATTGTGTGAAGTTATTTTTTGGTTTCTATTTTTAAATTCTATATATAGATGACATTAACCAGTTTATTCTTTAAAACTATAGCCAAATAATTTCTTCAATTTGTATGCACTTAGTTGAATGTGTTCTATTTTCATTCACTGCATAAGTTAAGCATGTTAAACTTAGGATTCTAATTCTAAATTCTTTTAATTATGTTGTTTAATCTCCAAAGTGCATCTATCAGCTCTCTAAATCACAAGTTAGAAAAAATAATGTGATAATAATATTAATTACATATTTAGCAAATTTAATCATTAGTTTAATAATAAGTTGATAGACATTTTTTATGGTAAATATATTTATTGGCCTAACCTGACAATTAATCACTAATGGATGAGGTGACCACACAATAATAGATGGTACGCTAGTGGGCCCTCAAGTTTGTACCCTTCAACAAGGATAAGATTAATATTATCTGTCATTATTAGTGAATTAGATTGGATTATGCTAATTATTCATAATATCATCCCATATTAATTAGCATTTGCTCTAATAATCAATGTTGGATTCCTCTCAAGGTGTATTGATTAGCCTGACCAACCACTTTAGTCATTAGTGGATGATATGACTACATAATAATGAGTGGTATGTTAGTGAGACACCATATTTGTACTTTTTAATTGGGAGATGATCAAATTTACTTCATTATTAGTGCCTAATGACTGATTATACTAAATCAATCATTTTATCATTCTATATTGATTATGATTAATCTTAATAATCAACATTGAATTTTTATCAGGTGCATTCATTGGTTTGATCTGCCACTTTAGCCAATAGTAATATGTTTTGCTACTTCAACATTGGACCGTCACTTTCGTCCCTTCTTTAGTAGACCTTGGCCTATAAATATCCTTCTATATAAATCATTCATGATCTATATTAAAATATTCTTTGCATTCCAATTCAAGATAACAATGATATCAACCAAAGGTTGTCACAATAGAAGGTAGAGATCTCAAAAGTTGGATACTAGTAATGAAGCAAGTACAATAAATTCAACCAACTAGAAAAAGCCTGCCCTCGGGGGAGCCTAAGATTGCCCCTTTTATAGGGCAAAAAATTCGATGCAGCACCGTGGCGTCGGACATGGCGTAGGGGCGTGGCAGATACCACATCAGCCGACAAGATAGGGTGCACAACTTGAAACCTGACTTGGGTTAGATTGGGCGCTGGGGCACTGCTGACGTGATGGACTCTACGTCGACGCCTGTCATGGAGACTATCCAATTGGGAGTCGCCTTTGAGCCCTATTAATCAGGGGTCGTGTCGTGGACATGGTTCCGCTGACTTGTCCAATGCCACACCATCACTCGTAATGATGTCTGGCTAATGAGGACTACCAGGGACCAAGAATTGCCAGGAAACAGTGGCGTTATACCTGGTACCGTGGCACTGATGTGGTAGTTGCCACTAGCTGTTGCATTGGGTCGTTGTAAGCCATTAATAATGAGCATTTTTGTGTTGGGGCACTCCAGATAACGTCAGGACCTCTGAACCAAACTTATTCACTTTACCCTAGTTGATCTAAATAATCATATGATTTTTACATCATGACATATCAGATGAGCTAAAAGTTAAAGGATGCATATATATTTGATAAACAAAATGTCCTTCCTTCATTAATATTCTTGAAATGAATTACACATTCGGGATATAAAAGTGGAATGATGCACCTAATATCAAATAGAGAGAACATTATGCAACACATAGGGATTAGGTAACCACCAGCCTTCCGCAACGTCGTTTGTTGCTTTACTTGTTCCTTCCCCCACATAAGGTTCTGGAGGGGGTGATAGGGACATTTCACATCATTCGTAAGTGGTCTCGAGTTATCATTGGGCAATGAAATCTTGCAGTTGCTCATTGTGACGTAGTGACCTCTCAAGGGAATCCAACTTTTCCCTAAGGAAATCAAGCCTGTCTAGCTGTCCTGTAAGAATATCAACCTTTCCGTTGATCTCATAGATATCGTCCTGCATTGCGCAGAGATACTTGGAGAGAGCAGGTGAGCTGTAGGATGCTGCCGTGCTGGCGAGTCAAGCGACCTTACATAGAAGAGGAATTGAAAATGGTAGCCTTATCACTCTCATTGCTACAGGGAGGCTGTATTAGTCACAAATGTTGTCCATTCAACCAACAGACAACCTCCCTTCAGCACGCCATCACATCATTTTTGAAATAGGCAAAGAGGAAATATTGAAGAGGGAAAAGGGAGAAAAGCTGTTGTGCTTCACTACGAGAGATTTGACGTACAAAACATGTTAATCCCACCACTATTTATGAAAGGTTGGGCGTCGCAAAATCGGGCATGACACCGTGGCAATTACACTGAAGCATAACTCCTCTGGAAGGTAGCCATAGATTTGTTTGGTAGGGCGTCCCAACTCCAAGCCTGGGCTTGGGCGCCTTGTCGTTCGATATGCTCGGGTTTCAACAGTCACATTGAATGAGTTAAATACATGCCATGATGTCGGGTTAGGTGCTCAAGCGACATAAA